GCGTACCCATTCTGATGGGCAGCGGCCTGATCTTGTTGCTTACAGTCCTTGGTCGCTGTGGTCGAGTACGAGGATGTGGTGTGCCCGGTCGCCTCGGGTGTCGTCGAGTAGAGTTTGCAGGCCGTCGCGACGCTCGCGTCGTACGGTGAGTCTTGCGGTGGCCTCGTGTTTGTGCCTCCGCCCGGATGAATTCCCAACGACGACGAGGTGTGATGATGATGTTGCGTGGACGCGTAAGGAGACATGCCCAGGCCGAGCGGAAAATTTCTGTATGCCGTGGCCGGATCGTGGTGCTGGCTAGCGGCTCCTGTCTGGTGGTGGTGACTTCCGTAGAAGCCACCCGCAGTCTGCTCAAAATACGAGTTCATTATTCCGGGTATTTTGAATCACTTGCACTGAAACACCGACACTCGAGAAACAAAGACGGTGGTGTGGCGAGTCTTGCAGCTAGCTGCTCGTCGACTGTTCGTCGTTGGTGAATCGTCGAGAGCACACACGCGCGTGGCTAGTCACACAACCGATACTAGTCCATGCTCCGACTGAATCGTTTCACCGTGGTTCAGGTTCGTTCACCAACCCGATCGTCCCACCACCGACGACGACGATTATCGTCCCGTTCTGGTTCTACGTTCGGCAAATTCGCGCCAAAAGGCGAGAGGCAAACGTTTCGCGTCTGGAACCGATACGCCGTTTGACGCGGCTCGGCGACAGGTGACAGCGTCGACAAGGGACGAGCAAACGGGCATTAAACCGTTTCAAGAGGTCATAAAAGTCATCGGTAGGTAGAGGCGGTTTATCCCAAAGCGTCAATGTCAGTAGGCCGTAGGAGCGTAATTCAGAATGGGACTCATGGCAGAGGCGGGGGCTTTTATGGACTTGTTATGGTTACCGCTACCGGCACGAGCGTAAACCGGCGGTCTAGGTGGTGGAAACAGGCGATGATCGTTAAACCGTTACGACGCAATAAACCGGGGTAATAAGACGGGCTATAAAACTGCCTCTGTGGGTCTTTCTACCGCGTGCGCGCCCGTCGACGGTTCGGTCGGCCGGCACGCGACGATCTCCCTCGCGAACACCTCCTCCTTATTTTCCCTTTATCTTTCGATAATGCGTGTACGATTTCTGATCGGTCAGGCCCGGTGTGTCGGTAAGTCGGTCGGTCGATCTTTTAAAAGGACCAAAGGAATCGCTGACTCTGTCCGCACTGCACTAGCACTAGTCGAAATGTGACTTCGCTGACGACTGTGAGGTTCAGTACGAAGCGACGTACGAAGGGGATCGTAACGAACCACGGTATGCCAGTGCGGTGGTCCACGGCACACTACCGCTTTTCTCGCGCCCCGTGTACCGCCACTCTGTACCGTCCTCTGTCTCTTGCTCGCTCGTTCGTCTCCTTTCGTCTCTCTCCTTCGCCATCGGCCTCTCTTGCTTCCACCACCGATTTCCCTCTCTCTCACCGAGGTTTCGCCTCGTTCTCTTTTCCACTATCATTCCCTCTCTTCCTTCTGACCGCTCCATCTCGCTCGTGCGCGCACACTCTTCCACTGTGTACTACGTGGCGACAAGGAACGCGCCATTGCTTTCCTCCTTGTCTTTCGCGCGTCAGCCCCCTCTCCAATGCGATAACCAACTTCTCTCGCTTGCTCCGTCATCGCTGTTCGTCCCCCTCCCCCGCATATAACGGCCCCTCCACGTTTGCTCACTCACCCTCTCGTTCCATCTCGCTCCACCTCTCGACGATGCGGCTCGTCTCGTCTCGTCTCTTCCGCTCTTCTCGACCGGTCTCTCTTTTTCTTTCTCTCGATTAGATTTCGCGAAGCCCCCTGTCGACCGCTCGGCCAACTCGACGATGTGCCGCGAGATTAAATTCGGATTTCTCTGCTTAACCTGCCACGACCGATTTCACGCGTTCGCGTAGGTAAGACGTACACGCGCGAGACCGAGAGAACGAGGAACACGAAATGAAAAAAAAAAAGAAAACTCGAAATTGACCGACGGACGAGTAGCCGAAAAGCGATCGCGAGGGTAAGATTTCGAGACGCGGTAAAGAAGACGGGGAGGACGAAGAGAGAAACAGGGTAAAGAATAAACTGGAAAGAAAAAGAGATAAAGAAAGACGCGAAATTGCGGCAGCTAAGAGAGAGACGAGAAGTACGAGCCCGCGTCGTGGGTACTGAACGGAAGGGGGAAGAAAACAGGGTGCCAAGGGAGGAGGTTATGCTTAAGGACCAATCAGAATTGAATTCGTCACGAGTACCGTGCCGCCACAGCACGAAAATTCCTACGCCATGTGAAAGTAGTTCCAAGTTGGAACGACGCCCATGACTGGTTAGGCGCCGCCCCGCGTTTCCCCCACCAGTG